TGTTCTTTTTGATGCTAGAAAAGAATCTGCTTCATTCGTTGTACATTAAAGATAAATGTCGAAAAATGAATGTAATAAAGACAAAAATATAAAATAAAAATCAATAATTTCCAAAAAAAATAAAAAAATAAAAAAACAAAAAACGCAAAGAGGAATAATTTTTGTTTTTTTGCTTGATTGATTGAAATAAGAAGGAAAATAATGAAAAAATTAAATAAAAATCACAAAATATGAGAAAAAAAACAAAGTGGAAATGAAAAACAGCAGAAAATTCATTTTTATTACATAAAAGAAAGTAATTGACTGCTATAATATGGAAAATTATTTAATTTTTTTTTTTTGTATTTTGACTTTTTGATTTTTATTCTCTTATATTTTGTAAAAGTTGAAATAAAAATTGCAATCGGAAAAAAAAAATTTTTATAGTGAAAAATTTTGATTTTTACCCTCTGTTTTTACTAGATTTTTTTCTGGGTTTTTGTTGTTGTTTTACCGATCAATTTCATATTTTATATATTATATTTTTTTTTTTTCAATTTCTGCATTATTCACATTATTTAAGGTGAAATGCACTATTCATTTAAAGATGCAGTTGAATTTTTGTCCATGACATCAATTTTTAATTTTAATTTTATATTGGAAAAAGTTTTCATTTTATTTGGTCGTGTGGAAAATTAAAAAATTTTACAAGTTTCTCTTAAAATTTCCTTGGCTGCATAATTTTTTTTTTCTTTCTAGAAAATGAAAAAATAAATAATTGAAAAATAAAATATTTGACTTTATAATTTATAATATTCAGTAATAATTTTGTTTTTTAATTTAATTATTTTTGACTATATTTTTTACAATTTAATTATTAAAAATAATTGTGAATTTAAATTTTATAGTTTAAGTCAGTTATGTCAAACAAAACTGTTATCAAATTCGTACATTATAACAATTGAAGTGGTAAGTGGACGAAGGGGTTAACTTATATTTGCATTTTTTCATTAATAAATTGTTAAAATATTATTTTTTTCGTTACTTAACTCCTATGTGCACTGTCAATCTCATCTTCTATTAAGTTTCTAGTTATAAGAGTAATCATAGTTGAATATATATCAAATTTAATGATGTTCTATCCGAGCAACTCGATTTTCGTCAAAATGTTAGTTAACCGTTTTGTCCATTTACCTCTTCAATTGTGTTAAAAATCCCCGGTTTCTTTTATATTTTTGGTAGTGTAGGCTTCCCATTGTATATACAGTTCTGGAGATATTCAAAATTAATATAAAATTGAAGAAGTATAGGTACATAATTAAAGTTTTTAGAAAAGTTTGCAATACCTTATTATAAAGCTAGATTTATAAATCGATGTTTGTTCATTTCTATTTCTAATTGATTTATTATAAGGAAGGAACTGAAGATATAACGAAAATGAGTAAATAAGTAAAATATTTATGTAGATAAAATTGTTTTCCAAATATTCTAGTATTATATTTAATTGGTTTCATTACTATAAGTGCGATATGACTATAGTGTAACGTATAATGACAGCAATATTCAATGGTTTACTATACAAGGTTGTTGCAACAACATTTTTCCTATAAAACTATTTTAAATTAGATAGCATTCAATGAACATATTATTTATGTATGTATACATTTATAATATTAAGATTTATTATATCGTATAATAGTTGAGAACATAATTTCTCTATAGATTTTAGACAAAATTTGTTATGTAATATTAATCTAATATAGAATATCTTTTTCTAACATCAAAATCTAGAAAAAACCTAAACAATATTTATAAATTTACATATTATGTAAATAAATTTGTATATTTGCATATAGATAAATCAATCTTTAGATTTCGTATATGTGATATACAAGTAATAAATTATTTTTATCGATTTTAATATCATAAATTTTGTATCATTTGTGATTTTAAATGATGGCTGCCATAAATATAAGATGATAAAATTTTTGTTGTTTGTTTAAATTTGAACATATGCTAAAGTATATATACATGTGTGTATATGTGTTGTATATATAATATGTAAATAAGTTTAATGTTTACATAATAAAATATATTATTATGATGTATACATCTGGGTGTCTATGCATAACTAATTATTAAAGCTAATAAACATAATAGCTATGTATATAAGGAGTAAAAAAAAAAAAAATTTTACGACTAAAATAATGTCAATAGAACGTTGTATTTATTTTTTTCGCATATGTACGTGTAAATATAATAATTTTTTAGATAGATAGAAAAATATGATATAAGAAAATATTTGAAACCAATTAAAGGGAAATACCAGCATTTTTATATCTTGCGCCTTCATGGTATATTAACCTTGGTACAGAATTTGTAACCACTTAAAGGACCCATTTGTAATATGGACTTGTATATACCATTCTTAATCAGCGTAAAATTCGAATCAGCGATTGCATGATAACTCCAAAACGATTAAAGCAAACACCACAAAACTTTCACAAACTATTTCTTTTATACCAAAGTACGGACCCTAATGTAATTGTACCAAATCGGCCAACGAGTTTGGGTAGAGATTATATGTCATACAACCTAAATATTTGAAAACTATTAAAGATATTATCATGAAATTTCGTAAACGTGTATCCAATTCTATTTTACATGTATTCAAAAAATTTCAATGGAAAATTACAATTTGTTGTAATTGTTATTGAATATATCCTGCTTACCTTAGCCAATTATAACTATGTATAGTTCTCTTAAAGAATCTGTCTGCATCGCTCGTTCGACTCTATATGAGGAAGCGATCTCCAAGAAAAACTGTTAATCGTACAGAATGGGAAAAAGATTTTTTTTTGTTTATGACCTGTTACAAGTAACGTAGATTGAAAGGCAATCAAGTTTTCCTCAATCAACAATCATTGGGAACTCCTTTGATTTCTTCTATTAAAGTTATTCAAATGCCTAGTGTTTATTAAGTAAATGTTGTCTAAACTGAAAATTCTATTAAGTATTTCAATTTTAATTTGAACATTCGTGATTTTAATGGTGCCATTGATTTTAATGGTTCGATAAATCATTCAAATAGATTTATTATAAGTTCCTTTGAAATTTAGTAATTGCATATTTTTGACTTTACTAAATTGTTAAAAAGAAAGTGGAATAACATTGAAAATAAATGCGAATAAAATTTATTTTTGTAGCAAATTCTAAAACAATTTATTTTATAAAATATGCAAAATTGTATACGTGTTGATAATTTACATTAAAGTATTTGCAACTAATTAAATATTTTTTAATCAAGTAATTATGCTGTTAACTATTATTATTTAATACCTATAAGTATTCACTCAAATTACCAAATTGTGCAAAGTTGTCTGTATAGATGTTTGCATAATATAAATAACAGTGTTAATAAATATTAACGTGAAAATTTATTACGTACTTAGAACTTAATAATATGATTAAAAATCGAATTTTTCATTCATCAATGAATTTTATAATTTATTTTGATAATGAGTGCTATTAAAAGATGAATTTAGTCTTTTATTCTAAAGTGTTATTCAATAACATAATAGAATTAATTTGTTTATTATCTTAATGTACTTAAGTCTTAAATTTGTTTTTATAAGGATAATGGAAATTAAAATAGGTACTCATAAAGGTATTTTGGAAAATTATTAAAATTGTTTATTTATAAAATAAAATTAGCTTGTTAACTATTATAGAAAATTAAATATGAAAATTTAAATTATACAATAAGAGAATACTAAGTGTTAATGGAAAATAAATTTCAAGTGATTTTCGAGTGGAAATTTTTATTTGAATTTTAGAGTTGATTTTATTGCAAGACATTCATCAAAATGTGAGTTCTAGTAATAAATTTGAATACGTTTTTTTATGTCAAACTAACTATTTTTGATTGAAGAGAATCAATACAATAAAACCTTTATATAACGCACACAAAGCAAACAAGAGCTTTGTTCCTGAATTTTCAAAATTTTATAAAATATAGTACTAATTATTCAACAAACATAAATTTTTAGCATACGAAATGTTTGTTATACAGTCATTCTACTGTTTATGCAAACCACCTCTAAAATGTTCTTTAAGAGAACATTTTAAAAATTGTATAATTTTTCTTGTCACATAATTTTCCTAGTTAGGACACCATTTAATTCAAAAAATAATGTGACAAAGGAAAGATAATAATAATAATAAGATAATGTAGAAAAAAAATAAAGAATCAAAGAATTTGAATAATTATAATAAGAAAAAAAAAACTGTAGGTGGACAGAATTAAAGCAACTGCAAGCGAAATTAACCGAAATGAGCACAACTGATGCCAAATTGATTATTAACAAAATAATAATAAAAAAATAACAATAAAATGATACGAAAACAATATGACATGTACAATAAAATATTAAAGCAATAATATTTTTATATACGACTATGTACGTAAGAACGATTCTTTATTGTACATATAGATAACTACATAAAATAAAGCAAATAACAAAAAAAAATTGACACTAATAAAACAAATCCGCAGGAAAATTAAATTTATAGTTGTTAACTTAAATTATAGGATATAATTGATTTAAGTCCCTGTAGTCATTCTCATTACATGCGAGGAGAATCAGAGAGTTCTTTATATGAAGCCACTTTTAGAGATTTTTTGGAAAATAAAGAAAACGGGTTAAAACAAATAATTAATAACTTTTCCTTTTGCAGTTGATTTTGAATTGACAACTGCACGGTCCTGTAATTAAAATCAATTAAATTTTTATATTATTAAATTAAGTGAGTTTTTTTTTTGTAATTGTTATGTAAATTTTATAAATTGTTTGAATATAAAATGTGAAAGTAAAGCATGATTTTTTTAAATAACGTTTCGCTAATGCTTCGATTTCTGAGTGATAAGTCTAATATGTATATCTTGTTCGTAATTTGATATTATTAATGAAGTGAGTAAAATAGTTAAAATAAATTTTTTTTTTTCAAATTTTAATTTACAGATCGTAAATTAAATGGCGGCAATGTAATACATTAGGATAATGTATATATATGTGTATTCAAGAGGATTATGAAAAAAAAACTGATCATTATTGTCAACGCTTTCATTTGATTGAAATTGAAGCTAATTTTAAGAAATACTGATATTTATGGCAAAATAATTGTAATTACTGAAACTTGTAATAAATTATAGAATTTTGTCTAATACAATTCGCTTCTGTTGCGTATTGAATGCGAAAAATTGTATAATTTTTTTACTTCAACCATTAAATGAGATGTGAACGTGTTTGATATTTTGTAATTTAGAAGTGTTATAACAACATTCATATTTGGAGTCAAAAAATTCAATGCATTAATGTAATTTAATTATTGTAATTTTTTAAAATAAATAATAATTTTAAGTATTGAATTGTTTTTTTTTTAAATTTATTTTAAGTTTATTGAATTAATATTAATAAAAACTTTGTGTTTGAAAGAAACACAATAATTACTTTACGACTTTTGGAATTTTGAAACTATATGAAATATTCATTAAGAATTGTAATAATAAAACTTTATATTTCATAACAAATTGTGGAGGCTGTTCACCGTTTCTGAAGAAGAAATAATATTTATTTAATACTTTCATTTTTATTTTACAGTTTTCGTCTAAATATTTAAAGCTCTTTTCGTTTGAATATAGAAACTGATCAAAAATGGCCTTATTAGAGCAAAACTGTTGTTGGCATTAAAATGATGATGTTTGTAGTAAACAAGTTTTGCGTTATGCATGTTCATTACTTAGTTTTTAAATAATTTTTAAATTTTAAATATAATTTTCAATATTATGTAATTAAGAAGAATATTGTACTTTCTGAGGAATTGTATATGTAATGACTTATGCGATTCGAAATGTGAAATAAAATTTGAAAAATTTTCTATTACCATTATGACAGCAAACCGAGTTCCACGATAATATTTCTAAAATTAAAAATTCTAATAAAACGGAAAAATGTGTTGAACAAAACAGCATCAGAAAAAGAGAAAATCAAAAAAACAAAAATAATAACGTAAAGAGAAATAAGAGAGCAAAAAACAGGCAGTAACCAAAAAAACATTTGGTTTATAAGAATGTCGTCTATAGAATGTGATATAAGCCAAACGTAATTTTTAAGAGTTTAGTTTTGTACAAAGAAAAGTGAGGTTGTGATTTAATTTTTCTTTGTTCACTTGTTTTTTTCTTCCTCTTCTAATAGATTCCTTTTGGTAAAATATAGAACATCGTCGCCCCATTTTCTCTAAAAAGATTTTTATGTTCTCTTTTATTTTTGGTTTTATTTTTCGAAATTTTCTTCTTTTCGCTTTTTACTTCTTTCTCTTTTATTTATTTTGTGTTTTTATAGTTCAGGGAAAATTGTGTACACTTTGAACAAAATGCACCTGGTACACATATGATTTCGCGGTTTTTTTTTTTGCGACCATAATTTTAAATTCCTGTTTATTTTTTTTTTTTGTAATTTTGTGGTTTTAAATAAATACATTTAATTTTAAATTATTAAAATAAATTTTTTGTAGTATTTTAATTAATTTTATTATTATTACGATATTATTGTATGTACTATATATAAAAAAAAAACAAAAAATCAAACAAAAAATTTAAAATGCTGAATGGAAAATGTTGTCAGCATGAAAAATTATGAGAATATTAAATGTTCCATATTAAAAATATTTCTGTATAACAAAGCCACCAATTTTAAATTAAAATAAATATTTCCTGAATTGAACATTGCAAAAAAAAAAAATATTGGCCTTTTGTGTTTTACAATATGCTCGTTGTTCGTGTACACCACCAGTACGGTTAATTTGACTATGTCAACATAAACTTGTATGAAAAATTTTAAAAAGTAATAATCTAGAGAAGAATTAAATGCGTAAATTTAATTTGGTTATTATTTGGTTATTAATTTTGTGATATTTTAAATTGCAGCATAGTTACCTATCTGGATTTAAAGACTAAAATCGGTCATTTATTCATACCTGAGTAGCTCAGTTGGTAGAGCGTCCGCGTAGAAAGCGCCTAGAAAAGTGGTTCAATTTCAGTTCGAGAAGAAAAATTTTTAAATATTTGTGGCTTGACTCGTTCTTTTAATTATGTCATTCATGTGTTGATATAAACAATTACATTGTATTTGTAATTAGTTATAATATATTGTATAACAGTTATAACTATTTGTAATTTGTTATAAAAATTATAGTTATATTTCAATTAGGTTCAAACTAAAAATTTAGTTTTTTCAAAGAGCAAGTTTATCGAAACACATAAAATTCTATTATCTTTGTTTTGTCTAATTTCAGTTAATATGGGAAATTTACGGCAAATTATCGAATCTTCATTGTGTCCATTCCGCAAGGACAAGTTGAAGTTTTTGAAAATTAATTTTTAATAAGCCATTAATGCAGTTGCCATTATTAAATTTAATTCTATTTTCACATATACGTATTCTATATGAGATTTGTGTAATTTTTAATTGTTACAAAACTTGAGAAGTAATATATTTTTTTGAATTATACACTTTTCTCGGAAGGTAACATTACAATATTATTTTATTCAAAATGCAATCTAAAATTACAAAATGCAAATCATACATACTTTTAATTAAAAATAAAATATCCCTAAAAGTATGCAATTTACAATAATGATTTGCAACACAATATTCTGAAGGTAAGTTTATATTATACTTCATGCTGTGACTAAATATTTCGTCCTTTTTCTTTTCTATTTCCTTTTTAATTTGTTATAGTTTTTGTTATTAATGCGAAATCCTTTAATAAATTTACATTTTCAAGTATGTATTTTGTAATTTATTGATTTTCTTAACCTATATAATTTTTTGTGTCTAGAAGCATTCTTTAAGGTTATAACAATGTATATAATTATTATAATATATTGAAAATAAATTACATTTTATGTATATATATAAATTTTACTAGATTGTCATAGTTCAAGTTACCAGCTTAACAATGCACCAATTTGTTTGTGAAAGTAATTTTAAAATTTTGATAATAAACAGAATATTGTAGAATAATATACTATAAGAATTCAGGACAATAATTATAAAAATGCTATGTATACATTTTGTATATAAAATTTTTGATTATATTATATAGAATTCAAAATAAAACTAATTATTTTCTGATAATCTTGAATAATAACCCTTATTGTGAATCTCACTCGTTGAATTCTAAGAATTTCAAGCTAAGTTGCGTACGTTGACATTTGAGTAATTAAATCTCACTCGTAAAGATTATGAATCTGCAATGGCAACATTATTTTTCGGAGTGTCAAAATCGATATTTGATTATAGCTGTCAAGTGTCAACTTCAAATTTCATAGTAGATATTTAAAAAAATAATAGATAATTAAATTAAAGGTTTAATTAAATTGAACTCGTTTTAATTTGCTGTAGTTGTTTTGCTGCGATTGGAAAGAAAACGTTTTGGTAATGCTTATATCCTTTTGACTTTAGATAATTTGGATAATAAACAAATTTTTGAAACAAATAAACAAAATATTAAAAAAATTATCAGACGACTCTTGAATACTGGTTTTCTACGTTTGAAAATTTTATTAGTAGAATTTTGACATTTATTTTCATTACGAGTGTTATTCATAATTACTCTATTACGAATTTCGGAGTACAATATTCTACTATTTCGGAATTCACAATATGAAATTCGTAATTTCACCGAATTTAAGTGCTCCGAGTGAGATTTACAATAACGGTGAGTTTTAATTATTATTTTCATTTAAATTAAATAATTATAACAATATTTTATTTTACAAAAGATGTATCAAGTATCAGGTATGGTTAATTGGCTACTAGCAATTAAAAATAATTAATTAATAATTTAAGTTCGAATTTAATATAAAATTTATATGTTTTTCAAAAAAAAAATATTATAAAAAAAATATACATATATAAAAATTAATTTCCTGTTTGTTAAATTATGCATTAATGGTTTCCAATATTTGTTTTGTATAAAAATCGTTAAAACTCTAAGAATACAACAACGAATTCGTGTATGTGAAAATTATAAAAATTTTTATGTTTTTTTTTTAAATACTTTAATTTTTAATGTGATTTTTAGAAAAATTGTAATGATGTTGTTTTGTTTTTTTTTTGGCACTGTGTCTTTTATTATGAATGCAAACACAATGCAATAATAATATTTACAAAGAAAATATTTTATAATAAAAATTTTCAATTTCAAAAATATTAAAATCGTCTTAATACGAGTAGTCGACATTAAAAATGCCATTAAATTTTGTATATATGTGTGTATGATAATAAATAGCAGTGATGGAAATTCAAAAAAATTTTAGAGTACCACGTTAAGTTTTCTACGCGTACGAAACAAGAACTAAGTGGTACCACTTCAATTTGTGTAATATGTGCCACATTATAGTGCCAATCAAAGATATCTATACAAGTACATTATAGTCACAAAAATTGTATATGATTATTTCTAATTGTCTGCTGTTTTAATTTAATTTTGTTCTTTGCTATTGTGGCAAGTAAAGTTTTCAATATTAATGGTCTCCTTTTTGTCTTTTTTTTTAAATTTGTTCGAATTTGAATGCCTTTCAATGCGAGAAACCTTTCCAGCAACCGGAGCATTTTATTATCTAATTCTTATATTGGGATAAAAAATTATCTAAATTTAAACAGGGATTTGTTTTTTGAAGCTTGCTGAAATATCCGCGTGTACCATTTACGATTTGTGAGTTCTGAATCATTCAAATATCTAGAAATCCCGACATCAAATTTTTCGGTAAAGCATTCATAAACAAAAAAAGAAACTCTTACCTCTTAAATTATAGGAAACACAAGGCATGGCTCATTAATGAGAAATACGGATATACGTTGAGTTTACATGTGCAATAAATAATTGTAACAAATTTGACAAACAAAATAAATTTTTGTATTCGGAATAATACAAGAACGGTTTTAAATTTTATACCCTATAAAAAGAATTTTTGTATATAATGAATATGCGCTCAATTAAAAAGTCTAGCATTTTGGTTGAGCGTACCACTATAACAATTTTCTTCTGAAAACATCGCGTATAGTACAATAGTATCACATTTTCCATCCCTGTTA